TAATGCACCATCACTTGACTTACTCGACCCCAAATTCGAAAGGAAGCGCCACTGACTGTGGGAATGACGCGCAACCAGCCATAAATTCAAAGAGAATTACTCCCGAGGAGCCCGTCCTCTGCTGCCTTGTGCTGCATCTTCCCTCGAACGTTGAAATTCAGCAACGTCACGCGAGAGCCGCTCCTCGCTGCACGACAGTGTCAGAGACGGTGATGCCGGTGGTGTCGTCGAAGAAGGGAAGGCACTGCCAGGCCCTGTCCTGCATTGCCCAGACTTAATATTCAGAATAGAATATTTTAAATGAACTGGTCACATGAATTGGAACGTTTTTTAACTTTGTTGCGTCTTTAGTTGGCACAACTCGTCCCCTAGCCCCGGGGGGCGTTGAGCGCTTTGCGCCTTTGGAGTAATCCTCCGTTAATACTTCTATGTCATATATCTGTCACGTGTCGTCGCAGCGCCTAAGCACCCCCTGCGTCACTACTCAGCGGCCAGAATTGAGAAGGAATTAGGATTGGGGTAGTGTTTAGGACACTTCACAGGGGTAGGACTAGCCCCTGCAAAGCATGCAAATTCTTTTTTCGTAACACATTTCACGCTGAACTCTGTCCTTAATGTAATGTTTATAGGCTATAATAATAATAATAATAATAATAATAATAATATTAATAATAATAATAATGGGGAATATCAGGCAATTTACTATTAAAAATTCGTATGCTTTCAATTCGGTGTACAATGTAAGTTATTTCGATAGTTTTCTTTCAATGGTCCTTTAAAATACGCAATGCTAATAGATTTATCAATCTATATTAATGCAAATTTTTTATCTCTATGTCTGAAAATGCAGCTGGGACAAATATTAGAGGAATGAAGATTACATAAAAAATAATAGTGGCTTATTTCGTCAAAGACAAATTGAAGATTGAGCAGATTGAAGACACAAATGCTCTCACAGAGTTTATTATCTTCGTTTTGTGCATTTTGTAAATAATTTCAAATTCAATATACACATACAAACTGGATTATTACATTATTGGAAGGTGGAAGTGAATTTAAGAATTTTTGTCGAAAACAGGGAAGCCGCAACTGTCGTCTCTATTAATATATATTTTCTTGTATAATGTTTATTAGTCGTCTAAGCACCGAGGATATGGCAAAGAAGAAAGATATTGAGACAGTAACAGCGCTGTTGCCAGCCACTGGCGGTGACTGCGGCCACGACTGCGGCTGAGATCAGAGCACAAGCGATAGCGACCCGGTTCCTCGGTTCGTTGCCCGCTGGTGAAGGGCGACTGTGCAACCGGCCGTCACTGCCGCCACGGCCGCCGCCGGGCTGTTGTGCAATACATAACTGCTCCCGCTGCCGCCTCCCGCACCTCCTCCGACACCGTTTCCACCGTATTTGGATGTAAACCTCTTGCATTACACAGGCTGACTATACAGTCGACCACCGACAACAATAGCGAGTGTTAATGCTTCCGTAGATTCTGTCGCTGCCAATCACATTCAGCACATTTTTATGATAAAGTCTTAATATTTAATCAATATTTAAGACTTGTTAAATACCTTTTTTCAGATTTCTTCCAATTTACAAGTACGAGTTCACTATATACTCGTTTCTACAATAGGTAAATATGATGAAACAAAAAACGTGCAGCTAATTACACATAATGCACTATTTTATACACCAGTCAATGCTACCAGGAAATATTTATATATATTTATGGCTCCTGGAAACGCTAACGTCACTTATTATTCATTGTTTATGTATTACTAATTTTCAGTGTTCTAATGTACATGGGATAATTGTGGTTTAGAGAAATCTAAATTGCAATTTTGGAAGTACTTTCAAGGCGAACAACATTTTCTTTTAGAAACCATACATTTAATTGTTATGGCGAGCGTGTTTCTCAAGTCTGTATCTCTTTTCAATCTACGCTACACGAAGAGGTTGGCGTTCGTGATAATTGGTATGCGTGACTACTAACTTTTATTGTGCGTCTACTATCTCCGTATCTTCAACACTGTTGGAAAGCGCCGAGTCCTGCATTTCATTTCTAGCTCGGAGTAATGAAGTGTATGCTCATTAAGCCTTAACGTTCGGGTTATGATAATTACAGAGACAATGTATCGTTCAATGAGCGCTTTGACACAATAAAATGGTGGAGCGGTATTCAATTTAAAACTAATGCTGCTCCAACAGCACATACTTTCTCGCGTTATTGAAAACGGCTACGGAATATTGAAATATTGCATTTTCTGTGGTAATAACACGTCATCAATTATTTCAAAACTCTAATTCAACCAAGAAGCGAGAAACGCACTGTTGTCAAAACTATGTGTATTCGCTTTGCTAAAAATATTAATATAGTAATTAGAATAAACTATGCAGTTTATATAACAAAATTATGAAAATTCTGGCTGCTAATTCGTGAGTTGCCTTTCGTCGTAAGAAAACAACCCCGATAGCGTTTCATTTCGTTACTGTTTTTTAACATCCACACTTCATCTACAATGATCACTATTGCTTTTCAATAAAGAGAGCGTCCCTGATTTCTCGGAAGAAATATAAGTTGATATAAACGAAACAAATGCTACTCAAGAGCATCTCATATATCTATGCGGCATTGTCGCGAAATATCTATTAAGCTTTGCGGATTGCTTAAAAAGAAATACCTGAATACAGTTTGAATACACATTGTGTAGAAAGGAAAAAGTGAGAAAGGAAAAATAGAAATAATATTGATATTTCAATAGCAAATGATACTTAAAATTATATTTATTATTTTTTATATCATTCATTCAATTTTTCTCATGGCCCGTAATTAGTCAGAAACGTATATATATTTCATTAATTTCAAGCAAAAATTACGCAAAAACTACTCGTTTCTCTTTCAAAAAATTGTAATATTTTTAAAGAACGATTGACTTTGTCTGAGGATTAATTTTTTTTAATTTTAAATTTTCAAGAAAACGAACAATACCTGAAAATAGGACTAGCAGAATATTTTTAACTGTCTCTTATTACATTATTGAAGAAAATTTGAAGAATTAATTAGGAGTTGTTTTTGAAAAAAAATTTCAATTGCGAATTACGCAAAAACTACTCGTTTGTCAAAAGAATTATGCATAACTCTTTTTAAAGAGCCAATTTTGTACAACAGAATTTATATTAAGCGGCGGCGATGGTGTAACGATTAGCGTACCGGACTGTTGTACCCAAGTTCGCGGTTTCAAACCCGATCGAAACCGTGGATTATTAAGGGCGAAACAATCCTTCGTTCGCCTTCCTTCGGAGGGGAAGTACCGCCGGCTGTCCCATGTCAGTAGATTTACTTGCATGTAAAAGATCCTCAAGCCTAAATGACGCCTCTGAGCTAAATTCAAATCGCCTGTTTCTAGCCCAAAAAATACCTCATTTCTCTGCTAGTTGATGAAAGGAGCGTAGCGAAATTTGCGTGGAAGAGCGGGTCTGATGGCCCGAGTCTCGCCTCGTAAAATAAGGCAAATTCAATTCAATTCAGTCTTACAAAAATTTGTAACTCCAATTTTGATGTTTGAATTTTTTTTCAATTTCGGGAAATTGGGAATGTCAACAAAAATGAGACCTGCACCGTTTTCTTAAACATCTTTACACTATTCAACAACAATATTTAATAAAAAAAATTGAAGCCATTTTTTTGAAAATGTTTTTGGGCTTCATGTAAAGTACTCCCCAAAATTAAAAGATTGGTTTCAAATCACAGGATCCGCGATATCAGCTTGAACGATTGAGGAATATCAATTTTGGAGAAATTCAGCTGAACGGTTGTGCACAGACGGACAGACAGACAGATAGGCAGACGTTTATCCGTCAATCGATTTTTCGGTATTAAGGACGCGCATAACATTGCATTGTTCGTGGCTACACCACGTATTAGAGGATTTTTTTCTATATTTAGCATCTGAATTTATCCACTTTATCCTTACCAAGAATTTTGTGTCGAAAATTCGCCGTTTGCCGGCGCCCGATTACAATACTTTTTTATGTTACGTTAGTAAGAGTGAAAATGTAAAAATGAGTCTTACATATTAAAAGAGAACGAAAGTGAAAGAAATTACTGAGATTTCAATTGCATCTAAATATAGAGAATTGTAAAAAAGGTCGTAAATAATTTGACAAAATTTACTCTGCAGCCGTTCATACGCAGTAATTGAATTGCGAAATAACAGTATCGACTAAACCTTATATATGGGGTGTTCTTGCACTTCAAATAAACTCACAAAATTAAAACACAGAAAGTAAGAACACATGTAAGTGTTGGAAACGAAAGTTTCTGAGAGAATATGTACTCTAAATACCTACATTATTGATAATAGATGATCAAATATACGAAGCTTCTAATGACAAACTAATTGATTAAATTAGATAATTTTAAAGATGTAATGAATATATTACAACAGTTTCCAAAACATCGTGCGGACTACAAAAACAAAAAAACAAAAAACAACAAAAAAATCGTGCAAAATATTCTGTCATTTGAAATAATTTAAACCTTTTTCCTCCTATTTTAATGCCTGTAACTTTAGATTAAATATGAAGAAATCAACTGAAGACACTTTTAATTCCTCTAAACATATTTTCTTTTTTCTTTTTCAATTTTGAACGATTACTGTTTTTAAAATTCGAATACTTCAATCCTTTCCATCCCTGTTGTTTTTTAAATATTTCAGTGGTAACAAAATGATCAATACTTAGTTTAATTTCAGCGTAAGTTTGACTGCAAATAAATAAAATAATTTATCGAATACATTGTTAATATAAAGAGAAAAGGAGAAATGCATATTAAGGTGCTTGTTTTGTGAAGCAACTAAAATAATGATGGGGAGCAGGGAGAATAGTGAGTTTGAAAGCTCGTAATATTCTTAAGATTTCTATGATTTGAGCATTAAAACATTTTTCGAGCTTATAGTGTCGCGCTTTTTTAATGATGGGCTGGCGCCGGCGTGTGTTGCAGCGCGCCCCGCGCAGGTGTTCTGCTACATAACCAGCTGGTCGCAGAAGAGGCCTGGCGCCGGCCGCTTCACCCCCGACAACGTGGACCCCACGCTGTGCACGCACGTCATCTACGCCTTCGCCACGCTCAAGGACCACAAGCTGGCACCGGCCGACGACAAGGACGAGGACGCCTACGAGCGCGTGGTGGCGCTGCGCGAGAAGAACCCTAACCTCAAGGTCAGCGCCCTCCGCGCGCCCCCGCTGCCCACTTGCTCTTGTCCTTCGTTCAGAAAATGTGACGGAAAAATTAGATTTAAAGCAGACGCAATTTTTGCTACATATTTTCAATGTTTTTTACAAAAACTATGAATATACATAATGTGTTCTGAAGTTGATTTAGTATCTACTTGCAGTAATTTCAGAGAACATAATCTCAACTTTTTGAAGGGCAAAATATGATGTAAAATAAAAATAACAAAAAATATAAAAAGTTATTAAGGTGAAAATGATTTAAAAATATTTAGACAAATTAATTTATAATGTCATTATATTGATTTGCAATATTACTTATTTCTATAGAAACTGGGTCATGAGCCTTGCAATTGTGAGTCAAATGAGCCTTTGGAATGTGAAATACATTACACCACTCAATATCATAAATTAGTGTTATTCTAGATATGGCAATATATTTGAACATCTAACAATTCTTCTAAATATTTTAATATTACGAATGAAAATGTATTTCTGTCCTACACACACTTATGAAATTTTTTGATTATTACATTTGATCATTTTGAGCAAAACAAATGTCCAGCGCAACAGCTATTGCATGACTATGGCTGAAGGTTTCATATTTCAAGTTATTCAACAGGTCAGCTAGAGGCCAAGATCAAGTGTACCTAGACAGTGTAACTTCTTTAGGCCAATGATGCGATCTTGTTCAATACATTTATTACTGCCAAGGAAGATCACAATAGAACCTTTCGTAGAATTATACCATAGTTTTATGAAATCATGCAATGTAAAAATTTTATTAGAAATGTAGTTTACTTTGAAGAACTAAGTCCGTTAATTGGTTACCATACTCTAACAACCATCCGTAATTGCAGTTATTTCACCTGGACAGTTGTGTCCAGATAGAATTGAGATAAACATAATACTTTCAAATATTCTCAATTAAACACACAAACAGTATTTGTTACATAAAGTTAGAAGTATTTTTTTTAATATTACTAAAACGTTAATGTGTCTTAATGATGGGATTCTCTAAACGATAAGTTTTAAGTATTATTTTTTCGGTAAAATTTATAATAGTATAGCATATTATTCCAGAGTGTACACAAAATTATCAGTTTAATTTTTACTTTCTTTTTCTTGTTTTTCTAATCTTTTATTAAAGTTGTTCACGTAACAGCTAAAAGCTTACTTCATATTCTTTTGGGTACAGAGTACTGTTTGAGCACCATTAATATAGACCATCTCACAATATGAGATAAAATAAAAATATTATTTCTTAGTATTATTCTTAACGTCTTTTCTCAGTTCTTAATTTCCTAATAATAAGAGTATTTTTGTGACAGGTACTGCTGGCTATCGGCGGATGGGCCTTTGGGTCCACTCCCTTCAAGGAACTGACGCAGAACGTGTTCCGCATGAATCAGTTTGTGTACGAGGCCATTGATCTGCTCCGTGATTTTAAGTTTGATGGTCTCGATGTGGACTGGGAATATCCAAGGTGAGTTCATCTTAGCCACATGCGCGAGTACTTGTGTGTGAGAGATAATATTAATTATTTTATTTTTTTTACAAATAAGCTTACATATTGTTCCATCAGCAATGTGGTTTTAAAAATTAGTCAATTAAGTAGATCACTTCTGTTAAACAGAACAACAATTCTATTTCTAAGTCTCCAGTTGGCAAAATGTATGTCAGCACTAGTCTACTGATTAGTAAAATTTTAGAAAAGTTATAACATGTAAATTTAGAGTATTTGAAATTGATTTTATTGTATTAATTAAATATAAAATATACAAATGATCTCGATATTTCAAAATATAGGCCTATAGAATGTAATTTTTAACCTCAGTACATCGTTTTATTGAAAGAAGAATATCAGAATTTTATTGAATATTTAATACAAAACCAGTAGAACATGTTTTCGTGTACAGCAGTATGGGGAATTTGTTTCGCTCTCTCTCGAGTTTCGCTTGATTCGTTCGGCAAACGGCCGCTGGTATGACGGGCTCTTGTGCGCAGGGGCGCGGACGACCGCGTGTCCTACGTGAGCCTGCTGCGCGAGCTGCGCCTGGCGTTCGAGGGCGAGGCCAAGACGTCCGGGGAGCCACGCCTGCTGCTCTCCGCCGCCGTGCCCGCCTCCTTCGAGGCCATCGCCGCAGGGTGAGTACTCTGGCCACGCCCCCGCGCCCCACACAACTTCTCCACTGGGGAAGTTTTCTTTATTGAAATGAAATAGGATAACCCCAGATATTGGTATTGCCCACAATTTTAGGATCCTTTTTAACCTAAACCTCATGTCTTTTCATTTAACCCTTTGATTTTTCTACGAGTTTCTCACATTTTCTTCAACAATTGTTTAGGCACAATTATATAAAGATACCATTTGAATAATTTCTTTGTATTTATTAACTTATTTTATTTAAATGAAGGATTTCATTTTTATTTTGTTTCTTTTATAATAATATTAATAGAACAAATTATGCATCTTTAATATTAAACATCAGAACTTTACCTTTTGCTATGTTAATGTGTGCAATCAGATATCTTTACTTCACAACTTAATTTAATCTAAATATTTATTTTTATACAATACAAAAGTGTATGAACTTTTTATATACTCTTACAAATTATACTGATTTATTGTGCTATTTAAATGAAATCCTAGCTTTTTATTTTTTCATCATAATATTTAGAATTTATATGATTTTATATTTTTCAGTAATTTGAAATCAAATCTGTGTCTTGTTTTTAAAGAAATTTTTACAGAATTAAGACTGTAGATATCATATCTCTAATACGTGTTTAACTTATGATTGAATACGTATAGATACGACGTTCCCGAGGTCTCCAAGTACCTGGACTTCATCAACGTGATGACGTACGACTTCCACGGTCAATGGGAGCGACAAGTTGGCCACAACAGCCCTCTGTACCCTCTAGAGAGCGCCACCAGCTACCAGAAGAAACTCACAGTCGTACGTGCTGACACTATCTAACTCTTTTTGCTACTGTATTTAGTCGTTAAACATGAGTATTTGAAATATTTATGCCAAATTCACCCGCTATGAAATCTTATTATATATTTATTCAATGTCACAAGATACATTGTAGTTCAGGCATTTAATTGCATATTACATTTTAAAAAAACTATTGTGTACGCGTATGACACTATATCATAATACAATTTTTCACAATTGAATTAGAACTATTTGTATATTAACTCCTTACAGATATAAAAAATTGAAAAGTATCTTTGAGGAGGCGAGAAATACTTATCTACCCCAACGGTTGATGCGATGTGTCTTACGTTCTTAAAAAACCAACCTCCTTAAAAACGATTTCCTCGTTGTGAATTTCACTGCGTTGCAATCGTAGAACTTCTTAAGCCAAGAGAAAGGTCAAGATGCCTGCATTATTCTCGTTCGAAAGCTTTCTATTCCCTTGCAGATAGGATACTGAGCCACAGTTAGGGGGTTCGCCTTTCGCGTTCAAAATACTCAGAAGCGCCGAACTCTATGATCTAGAGGAGTCTTAGAATAAATGCTACCAATTTGAGGGATCTTATACGATCAAAGATGATCACTTTTTGCCAATGAATTTACTATGAGAATATAGAACGTGTGTCGTTTCCCTCTGATTGGGAGACAACGGATGATCCAATAATGATAGGCCGGTACACGTTTTGACGGAAAGAGATTTTGTGGACCTTCCAACAACCAGTTCAAGGTGAGTTGAACTCATAAGAAAATACGAGTCGTATAAATTTATGTCATGTAATTTCACACCACACGTTGATTTACACAAGATGATCATCTTGGATTTCTGAGCATGCACTAGCGGTTTTGTAACATTTATTGTGAGAACTTTCCCTGAGTCATCGTGTATAAATATAAAACAGATCCTACTCTTTTTGAAAAAGTATTTATATTCTTTGTTGAATTTGAAAGAACGTTGTTTTCCCTTGCGCAGGACTACAGCGCGCGCGAGTGGGTGAAGCAGGGCGCGCCCAAGGAGAAGCTGATGATCGGCATGCCCACGTACGGCCGCTCCTTCACGCTGGTGGACCCCGCCAAGTTCGACATCGGAGCGCCGGCGTCGGGCGGCGGCGCCGCCGGCAAGTACACCGGCGAGGCGGGATTCATGTCCTACTACGAGGTGAGCGCGCGCGCCCATACCCTATCTAGTATATCGATAGTTTTATATCTGCGGCGCCTCGGACCTAGGTTCCAGTCCCGACGGTGGCGGGAATTTCTACACTAGCTAGATAGCTAGGTCAAATTCAACTGCTGCCTGGAGGAGAATTCTAACGGCCGGCTGCTATGAACGGTAGTTTTTCGCGGTTTCTCCGATAAACACCAGGCGAATGTCGGAGCAATACCCAAACAAACGAGCGCAATATTTCCTTCCTCATCCTGACCCTTTTCTCACACAAACATTTACATACTACACATGTTGGGAGACTGGTCGAAATCTTAGAGGTTCTTCCAGCTGAATCAGTGCCCCGCTGGTAGGAGGAATTTGGTTCGGAAAAGACCTAAAATCCGGCGACAAGTCGTAAACAAGGGTATCTTTAGATTAACGTTTTCAATATGAGCCCAAAATGTTGTCAATAATATTTGTGCTGTATTATTGTGTTCATTCGGAAAATTTACACATAATAGAGAGAAATTATACATTTGCAGAGGTGGAAGTAGAAGTGAAATAATAGTACCGAGTTTGGTTATAGATTTTCACGATAATTCAAATAATTTTCTGCGTGACTTTACTATGTGTACTATGGATACTTATGCATTAAATAATGTAAAATGTGTGTGTAATTATGAGATTTAAAACAGGTAGATATGCATTAACGACTCAGAAACTATTTACTATGCAAAATCTCATAAAAATTATAAACTTATCATAATTTGTAATTTTCATCTATTATATTTATCACTTAAGATTTAAACAACATATAGTTTACTAAAACAATGCAAAATATGAAAAAATAACCTGAAATATGGACAGGAATTGTTGATGAAACTAATTTAATTATTTCCATTGCAGTGTATAAAAGTGTTCGTGTTGAGGTTTGAAAACAGAAAAGATCCTCTGATTTGCCAGAATTGATTTGTACCGGAAAAGCAACGTTCACGCAAACACATATGTTATTGGCACATTGTTAAAGCAAGCGCTATTTCTTCCAGTGACAATGTTTCTTCAATGTCTGACCATCAAGGTCTCGTCGATGAGTCTGTTACAAGAGGCTTTTCATCTTGGGAAAATATCCAGGCCGAAATTTCAATAACTTACAAAAATTATAATCAGTTCCTAATGAAAAGTAACTATTGTTATTCACCTCTTTATTATTATTATTATTATTATTATTATTATTATTATTATTATTATTATTATTATTATTATTATCATTATTATTATTATTATTATTATTATTATTGTCATTATAATAATTATTATTATTAATTTATTAGAAATAATAATTACATGTTTTGACATTTTCTGTGAAAACTGCAGAATATGTATCATTCTAGCAATATACTCTAAATATTATGCAATTACAAAAACTCCCAAAATATGTAAAAACATGCACTATTAAAATTGGACTTTTATAATGCATTACTCGGTGGACATATATTTAAATGAAATAGAAAAAATGTTATCATCTTATCCCTAATTATAAGATTTGGGATGCAAAGACTCCGTGTAAATTATGAAAGAATGGAGTAACAAGTATTTGAAATAATTTTGAAATAAGAAACAAGAGTTATATTCGTCTTAGAAAAGTAAAAAATATGGCAATACCTCACGAAATGTGTGAGATTCACCAGATAGGTATAAGCGCTTGGTTAATAAACCCACAAATTTCTCAAATCTTCTCCCACAAATTTCTCAAAAAACAATTCACAAATTTCTCCTTCCAATGGCAGCCAAGCTCACATTACGGCTAAGCGGGTTGCATTCACTGAACTCTTTTTCGCCTGAAATATTTGATCTGCTCTCACAACCACTGCCTACTTCCGACTGCTAGTTTCCACCCTGAAGATGCTTTGTTGCCTTTTAAACAACTCTTATTATCAACACAATTTGTTAGATTCATACAATTAATTAAAAATTAATAAATTTCAGGAGATGGACTGTTTTGAGACAACTCCTAATTCATATTTGCACTCGTGTAAAAGCAATTGTTAATGTAATTACTGTTATTAATATTACTGGAATGTCACAAACTTATTATTCAAAGAATGTAGAAATATTTAACAAATGCTCAAAGTATTTCTCAAAGTATATTTAACAAATGCTCATTTTGTATTTACACCCTGTAACTAGATATTCTTTCACTTTGAAAATGGGTACATACAAAGAAAGTAAGCTTTTCGTTTCTCATAATTTTTTTTTAAGTTTGTTTGAGTATTGATGAAATTTTTTTTGAGTTTTATTTAATTCATCAAAACAATATCATCGATGGTAACAATGTACCAAATTCGTACCCAATAATAATTAAATTGAGATCTGGAGACGTGGCTTCGAATCCCGGCAGGAGCAAAGACTCTTTGAACAAATTGATATTTAAAATACAGTTTTTACTGAGTAGTAAGGCCACAACGTGGTATTTTTTGGCCGAGAGGCAAATGTCATAGCGTAAACGCATCCAAAAAGGTGACAAAGTGGTGTCAATTGTGTACAAAATAATACATTTAAATGAACAGAAGCTCCGTATTATTGTTTATTTTTCAATTAATTAATATTAATTGTTCTGTACTTTTGCTCTGAATCACTTTCAGATGTTTTATTTGTAAAATATTCTCCAATTTTGTATGCAAAAATCGACGAAACCAAAATTTCTTACTTAAAACATTATTAGTCGATTTTCATTTTTCTTTGCATAAAATCTTATTTGTTTTAAATATAATTACTGTAATTTACGTCATAAAATGCATCATTTGTAAAATCGTATGCATAATACGTAGCTAAAAAATATGGAATATTAATTCAAATAGAATATCCAGAATAAAGTTGCATATAGAAGTGACAGTGTATGTTTACGTGAGTGGCTTGTGTGCAGGTGTGCGATTTCCTTCACCAAGAGAACACGACGCTTGTTTGGGACAACGAGCAGCAGGTGCCGTTCGCCTACCGCGACGACCAGTGGGTCGGCTTCGACGACGAGCGCTCGCTCAAGATGAAGGTAAAGAGGCACCCTTTTCAAGTTTACTATTTTTTGGTACGTAATTGCACACTGGGGACTCACATACCCCAAAGATTCTCATTGTTAAAATACGTTCACAACATTGTTTATAATTGTTATTGTATTACATTTTCATTGACGAATGGATAAAAATAAGAATAAAACACAAAAATTAAATTTAGAAAATAATTTTTTTCATATTTTTTAACGAATAATCTTCTTTTAGATTAAAAGTGAATGATTACAAATACACGTTAAAATTATCACAGTGTAGATGAAACGAAAATGAATTCCCATTATCTCGCCCGATTAACATTATAGGAAGATACTATTTTTATTTTATTATTTGTATGCAGAACAATTAGAAACTACACACTGGGATCCAGCATACTACTTGCACTACTGGCGAATTAGCATCTATCGTCGACAAAGTATGGGCAATAACTGAGACTAATTAACATGAGTGCAATTTAATAATTCAAATTTACTTAAATCGCTATGCGACTGTCCTCAGAAATTTCCACTCGGTGTTGGTTTGAAATATTGTTGGTGAGACGTAGTGTGCAGTTTTAGAGCGAATATCAGTTGTTCAAATGGTGAATTAATTCAGTGGGACATGTTAAGAGTTTACTGAACTTAGTTGGCTCCTGCAACTAGTAGTAGTCTCTAGAACGTTATTACTATTATTAATTACTGTTCTTACATTTTGCGTTTGAAACACTTTTTGTGTTTACTTCACTACTGACTGATGAAGAATGTCTTTTACTTTCAATACCTAATATGTAGATGTATTTAAAACAAGCATGATAAGACAAATAGGTAGTAAGCATTACTGAAGACGCGAGTAAGAGAGCAGCGCAGCCATGCGCGACTGCGAATTGTTGGCGTTGACTGACGGCGTGGGCGTGCGCAGATGGAGTGGCTGCGCGAGGCGGGCTACGGCGGCGTGATGATCTGGTCCGTGGACATGGACGACTTCACCGGGTCGTGCGGCGCGGGGCGTTTCCCCCTGCTGCGCGCGCTGCGCCAGGAGCTCAAGGACTACGCGGTGAAGCTGGAGTACGCCGGCCCCTACGAGAGCACGGGCCCCCGCGGCGCCTACACCACCAAGGACCGTGAGTACCCCCTCCCCCTCGCCCTCCCTCCCACCCAACAGATACCAGAGTGCAGTTAAGGCGCTTGCCCCTCTACACCCTGGCCCTGCGCCCACTTGGTAACTCCTCTAGCGGTCTCCCACCGTTAGAAGATTGGGACTTTAACGTCTGCTTCCTGATCTTAGATAAGACATTCCACTGTGTTTACACTCGCGGGTATTTGGCCTTCATCTCCTCTCCTAACTTAATCCATATCAGAGATGTACAACTTGCAATGTCTCACGGGGCACACCTAAAACATTTAATATAGCATATATAGCATTTAATGTGCATATTTACATTACTCGCGCGATCTTACTTGACTTCCCCTTAATGTTGATCAAGGTAGTTAGCTCGGCTGCACTGAAACGGGTGGTGGTGGGGCGAGAATGATGTGGGCTATGGCGTGATATCAGGCCGTACCATGTACAACAGTCAAATACATTTGGATGATTTTTGAATATCTTAATTTATGAGCAAAAAATCCCTGAAATACAATGTCCAACTTTTTTTACATTAAGGGGGAGGGGCACACCCCGATGGGGCGTGTGGGCTCGGCGCAGAATGTTCTCGCTCGACGTGGTTGCAATTTACTTTCACTTTTGACTAATAATCTATCGCGGGGCACAATAAATGGCACGGCGGGCCGCAAGTTGCCTGTAGGCCGCCAGTTGGGCAGCTCTCATCTATATTGTGGTCCGGTGCATTGACAGCTTTGATTGCTTACATGTCTGTTAACCTCGATGTAAGTATGAATCTTCCTCTTCCTGAACTTTGGTTCTCAAAGCCCTAAATTCATTAACCTAAAATTCAAAACCTCTTGAAGCAATTTATTTTCTTTATTTTACAAACTACGTTTAGAAAAGGACATTTAATTCAATTCGTTTAATCTCTGTGGTACAAGTAGATTAAATCCATACTTTTAAAGGAAAATAGAATGTTAGAAAACCAACCATTTAATATTTTAGCATCTCTCAATTTATTATTAAAATCTAAGAAATTCAGTCAATTTTTAACATTGATTTGTGCCAAATGTTATATGTCATAATTTTTGCAACGGGGGGCTTTCTATACTCCAAGAACAACACAAACAAAACAAAGCTGTGACTTAGTTCAGCTCCTTTTGAGATTCTTACAAACACCGGTGACTCATAGAAGTAACATAAACTTATAAGCATGCGACCAGCACCTAGCAGACCGAATCAGATCGTCATTAGTCTAATTGCTATGCAGACCAAACAACAAGAGAATCCAAAGAGATGGCAACACTACATTGCGACATCGATGTCAAGCATTTTAGACCTCGGCATTTAATGGATTACTTTTAACCACACCCGAAACCAAGTCCGGAAACACAAAGCAATAATTTGCGTTTACGTCACTATATAAAACATGTTTCAAGAGAACCAGTCTGATTGGGTCTATCCGCCAAAGGACACGGTCGTAACTTGTGCAACCTACATTCCAATTTTAGAATACGACTCTTACTAATCGAGCGAGTTTATACATGAATACCATTTACTGTTATAGAGTAGTCCTGCTTCGTTAGTTATTTAGTGCACTCTCATAATTGAGATTGAGAAAGGGGTTTGCGAATGTCCAAACAGCTTTTCATAAAAAAACTACAATTCAAATCAAGAAATGCAGTGTTTGTAAAGCATATCTTTGTTTCATTTGTTAATATTTGCTTGAATTTCTTTTTAATATCTTTAAAAATTGATGAAACATTTATGACTATTATTATCATAATGTTTACATCAAATCTCTACAAACAATGTTTTAGATTTCTATTAATTTTAATGCTCAAAATGAATTAAAAACAATGTAAGTTGTTTCTTGTATAACATAGAGAATAAAAATAAATCGAAAAGACCGATAAGTTTGTGAAATTTTTGTGCACTTATGTTGAAACTTGAACAGATCGCTTAGAAGTGAAATATTGAAAAAATAAGTCGTTTTGTTACTATTTTGATAATGTATTTCGTAACTATTTCAATTTGATTTTTAAATAATTTAAGGTAAATTTTTTAAAGAAAACAGATTAATTATTGTACATGATATGTTACTGCCAGTCATTATCAATAACAAAATTAAACAAAGATTTATTTCTATTTCAAATATTTTTCTTACCAATCCAACTTGTTCTGGCTGTATTGTAACTCCCCATATTACATTCATTGCATCTACATCACTGCATGGATTTTTCATGGGGGAACGTACGCGTGTTAACGGCAAATGTGTGTGATTGCAGCGAACGAGGTGTCGTGCGAGGAAGAGGATGGCCACATCTCCTACCACCCGGACAAGGCCGACTGCACCATGTACTACATGTGCGAAGGCGAGCGCAAGCACCACATGCCCTGCCCGTCCAACCTGGTGTTCAACCCCAACGAGAACGTGTGCGACTGGCCCGAGAACGTGGAGGGATGCCAGCAGCACACACCAGCACCCCCCGCGGCGTAGGGGGCTGCCCCCCCGTTCCTCCCCCCTCACCGCCCTCGCTCCGCCCCCGCGTCCATCGCCGCCGCTGCCGTCTCCTCATGCATCCGTTACGCAATAGAACTTGTGTTCCACACGCGTCGGCCGCCCGACAGAGAAGGAAAAAATCCCTGCGAAATTATTTTCTTTTTAAATATATCTTGCCACTCATTGTTAGCATCACGTTTTTATGTACAAGCTGAACGGGGGAATAACATTTAATATTTGGATTGGCAGAAATTGGGAGCGCGTGGATGAGTTGAAAGTATCGATTGGCCATTAAACATCTCCTTACGACGTATTTTAGTAATGAATATGCTCTACAACTTAATATAAATACGGGCAAAGTGCATTCATATTATAAAAAACAATTGAAAAACAAATACAAAAATAATATAGTTGTTACTGATATGAAGGCGACAAAACTCCGCCAGGAAGACGATAGTGTTGACATTTAAAAGGCCGGAAATTACGGTGGAGCTGGGGGCCGACGGCGACGCACGCCAGTGTCCCCCACCCTTATTTCCCGCCTCTCTTCCCCTCCCCTCCCCCCTCGTTTCCACTTCCCCTCCTTTCTATTTATGTTAACGCCTCCCGTGTTATTGTTGACACTAACCCCGTATTTAATTCTTGTAGGCCCATTCTGCTATTGACCCCTCTTCCCCTCCGCGCCGCGCGCTGTGCGGGCGCCATCTTGCCATGAGAAGCTTGTGCGCCTTGCGGAAGGAGCTTGAAACATGCCGCCCGCCCCTGCGCCTGCGCAACTTTCTGAGAAGTGAAAGAGGATGCGAGAGTTTGCGCGAGTGCGCTGAAAGCATATGTAAAGGCTTTTAAAAACTCGTAAGCTGTTGATACCATTGAGTGATTCAGCAACATTAAATACAGACAATTAGTATTCTTTTAACTATGTTTCGAATCAAAGGTTATCTTTATTCCACATGTTTTTGTTGTAAATTTAACGCTCGCTCCGTTTATTTTTTAAATTTTATTCGAAATCTCTTTACTGAGGCATTTATGAATGTACTTCCGTGAGGCATATGATATATTTGTGTATGACTGTTAATACATTTTTAATATGATACCGGTGTACTCGTTAGATGAACTCTCGCATTCTCTTGTAAATTGTGTGAATCCCTTTATACATTTCTTACTTACTCTTACGGAAGGTATATATTTGTGTGTATTAGTGATAAAGAATTTGCAATTTTATGCAGGTTCATTAGTAGGTTCGTAAGCTCACGTTCTGCTAGTGCTATCATTCTTCATCCGTTGCGCATGAACATCTTGCTGTTGAATGCTATCAATTATGAACAATTTTTGTACAGCTTTTATTTTGTCCGAGGCTTTGTTAAAAATACAGTATTGGAAACATCTTGGAACTTAGAGCTGTCAGAACAAGGTGTGGAAACAAAACGAGAATAAAATCGTTACACCCTCACTATAGATCTATCATTATAGTGATCCATTATAACCGATTCAAAAATAGAATACAAAAAAATTGGAACATCATAGAACTCCAGCAAGAAGAAAATTTCTAAATATCAACCCATATAGCATGTGTCAGGGCGCCTGAAGTTAAAACGAAACTACAAGAAATGTTCAGATTGTGGACTGATGAAATCTTGGGAAATGGTTTGTTGAGAAAATGGCGCCCTGTTCGGGAAGTGATCCAAACCGTGACATTGGGGAAATGAGGTCACGCGTACGAACGGAGCCAAGGCGAAAGCCGCGGTCACCGCAAGTTTTGTATTGGTTTGTTTGTACTATTGCGCATGTTGGAGCAAATAAGAACTTGTAAATAATAAAAACAAATAAACCACATTTTAAAAGATTGCGTTTTACTAAGCATATTCCTTAAAATTAATCGTTACTTCCTGTGTATTTTTAATTTTTTTTTTGCAAGTCTAGTCAATTCAAATTCAGATATTTTATGATGATATGTCTTTTTCTTATCACAAAACTCAGAAAGTCATACATTGTGTGTTTCTGTATAGAATATGATATTATTACACAGTATTCTTTATATATACCACTAGATACATAAAATAATGTGTTTGAAAAAATTACTTATTTGCGGTCAACGTTGCTATTGTAAACACCACGTTTTCTTACCTTCTCGAAAGGCAATATTATTGTGAAAAACAAATGACTTGTACATCTCTTAGAACAATTTGGAGAATAATTCACGACAGGTACGCACATATAAAGATGCTATTTTAAAACAACGTTCATTTTGTCATGAATATTCATTAAGTGCGGACCTATATGCAACGCACACTAGTTTTGCTGCGCTGGAATTTGGGAACAACTCAGACAGTGAGTGAACATAGTATGGCTGTGCTGTGAGCTGTCATGCTGGCCGTAACCTTTAGCTTAGTGGTGTCAACAAGATGGGAGAGCAAAGTGTTCTCAACGAAGCTGAAGATGGCACGAAAGGGATAACTACAGTGTCAGAAATTTTTGCATTACTTTTGATGTAAAAGATGATGAAAGTAATTACCGTGTATGCACATTAAATTTAATGTACACTACAGTAGCTTTAAAGTACGTGTACATTAAATTTTGTGTACATGTACATTAAAGTTAATGTACACGCGTACATTAAATTTACTGTACGTATACATTAAATTTAATGTACATTCATGATAATTACTTTCATATATTTTACATTAAAAGTAATTGAGAAATTTTTGACTGTGCTTTTTTACTTCTCCTTTCAGAGAAAATCCTTCTACTCCTAACACCTGTTTTTAATTTCTAGTATCAATACAACACATATAATGGCCTTGGTGCATAAATAATAATTTACTTGTATACCAAATATTATTGAATTAATTTTACTAAAAATTGATGTACATTATTTATTTATTGATTAGTGAAGAATGAATAAATATTTTAATTTTATTAATAAACAAAAAATTATTTTATTCAAAAATAAACAACCATAAGCCCTTGCGAAATGAAAAATTCACAACTTATTACAATGTACACATTGTTGTACTTTGTCCATCTTTTTGGCCAATTTAAAAACTGCAGAATCAATTTGTTTCCCACATTTTTAAGGCCTTTTGTCTCCGGTTGGATTTATTTTCATAATTTCTCTGAACGTAATAATTTTGTAGTTAATAAACAATATTTTTTGAAAATTTCCTTGTCACTAGTTGAACAAATGGCAATAAAAATAATTGACAGAGGCAATGGATTTTCTTGAACATAGGAACTGAGTATAAAAAGGAGACAAATGCATACACAATAAAGGAAAAAAGAGAAAATTGATTTAATGTAAAATACAATTATTAGTAATATTATTACTAGATGTCAATATTATAATTGTATACTACTACCTGTATTTCTTCTTTGATCATTCTAGAAATTACTAAATCTGAAAAAACTTTTTGATTCGTAAGGATCCATTCTTTTTTAACAATATCCATCTTACAATCCTTTCTATAATTCAATTTTACTATTACTTAAAACCGGAACCAACTGACAATTTATTAAAAATTCTCAATGTTATAATGCAAGTATTTTTCTAAAATGTTCTATCGATAGCAATAATTTGTTTAACAAAACATTACTTTTAATTTAGTACTCACGCCAATTTACATTGGTATGAATACGAGGGTCGGTTCTAATTTTGCAGAACAAGTATATCCAAAAACGTAATAGCTGACAATTATCACACCTTCAGTGACATCTTTACAAACTATTGGAACCTTTTTTTCAGAATCATACATCAATAGATGGAGATTAACAAGTTTTACATTTCATAAAAATAATATTAAATAAATATTACGGATTAATATTAATTAGACTTTACCGTCACAAATCTAATATGCTTGAATTGCTTCAGATTCTCTCGATATTAACCGCCAACTGCTATAGGTAACTGCTGTGATGAGAACAGGAAGTGAAAAATAACATTCAGCAGTTTCACACGCTTTCATGTCAGAAAGTTATGACGTTTCTTTGATTTTGCATACGCTTTAGAATTTGAACAACACTGCTATTACTCTAACACGCAAAAACCTCGCCTACAAGATCTTCAGAACCGGAATGATCTCTGCATAAACGCAGATTACCTGTGTTGCTGCAGGACAGCCGGCCTTCCTCTTTCCAGAAACAAGCAGGCTCCCGTCACCTTTTGTGTTACTGTTTTCAAGTTACCATGTTCTGGGAAAGGGTTCGGATTTTCTAAAGCCGCTTTATGCCCCGACAATAAAGCATTAGGAAGCATGCAGCTCGAAAAGAAGGAACAAATTACCATTAATCCTTTTTTTAAACTCGAATATTAAACGTTCAAATTCAATATTAAACTAAATAGTTTTGTGTAAAAATGATAAATTATTGTACAGATGTTGTCATTGCCAACAATGTTTTTTAATTCAAAAGCAGCTTTCGATGGCTTAGCCATCATCATCAGTTGTCTGATACAAGAAGAAAAACACAAAAAACAAAAACATTAAACGTGAATTAACAACAAGATTATGATAAAAGTTACAATAATTTACAAATTTTTTGGAAAATATATTTGACAACGGGAGAAAGAAAAAGTGGGGGGGGGGGGTTAAGCCATTAATACTAAAGAAAAGCGAATGAAAATAGAAATAGGACACGTAAAAATAATTTTTATACAGAAAACATAGAAATGTAAGTTGAGCCGTTCCTTACCTGCTAGATGGAAGCCACAAAACGACTACGCGGGGCGGGCGAGCCGAGGGGCTTAAGTACCCGGCCGTGGGGTGGAGGAGGGCAATGGCCTGGGTGCGGTGCGCTGTCACCGTGCCGCCCCGGCAGGGTGTGGTGTGGGAGTGGTGTCTAGTAGTAATTTTAGTAAAGGAGAAGGACTATTGTTTATGTTTTCATTTAATAAGTTATTATTTAAATGAATGTGTAGGTTTTCTAAAGTTAGTCTGGTGTGGTAGTGGTTTTCTATTTCCAGTATACGAATGTCTGTGTGTGGATTGAATGTATGGCCTATCTGGAGTAAATGATTGGCAAAGTGAGATTTACAGGTGTTGTGTTTCCAAGCATGTATGTGTTCCTTGATTCTGGTATTGAAAGTTCTACCTGTTTGACCAATATATTTGGCTTCGCAGTCGTGGCAATTTAGAGAATAGACGCCGCTTTTTTCTAGAAGATCTGTGTGTTTTTTGGGGGACAGCATTTTTTTTGAGGGAATTCTGTGATTTGAATGAAACTTTTATACCTTTGGCATTTTTTAAAAATGCCAAAGATATCCTACCACAACACCTATATTATTGTACAGAATAAAATACGAAGCTCAAAATAGAAAAGTAGCCATTTTTTAAAAATATGACATTCTTCTGTTATAGAAATATGAAACAAGTCTATAAAACATAAAACTAGTTTAAAATAAAATCATGAATTAACGTTGCATTTTCACAACATCGTCTGTTAATGTGAGTAATGTGGTTTATGAACATTTAACATTGTTGATGGAATTGCGACGCTGCGCGAACGGTTTGTTGCCAGGCTTGCGACAAATTTATAAATTTTGTGTGAATTCGCGAAATCACCCCTGTACAGGAAACAAAAATATTATCATATTAATAAACCTGACTCTGTATGCTCTTTCTCCTACCATTGGGTTTATATTACCTGCTAATGTATATACACAAATTTTAAAATGCCATCAATATGAGCAGCAATTATTTATTGACAAACACCCGATATCAAAATGCTTCACGACGAATTCTGCACTCCGCCGTATATACACCAGCTTTCTATAGTGCCAAAACATAACATGACACATAAAGATTACTCTTTAAATATAACAACATATCTGAAAAAACAAAAACAAATTCAATAACACTTACTCATTCATCCATATTTAAACGGCATTCATTCATGCGAGTGCACTCGCTTTGAAAAAATAACTCTAATAACTCTAACATTACTACTAATTACTTAGTGGGTTAAATCTTGGCCTTGTTATAAGATCGTTGCAAAATTGGTTGCTGGACCCCGTAAAATGGCCCCTTGCACCTTCGACTGTTTCCTTTCATTAAATACGTCGGTTTTTAGTTATCTTATTGCGTCGTTTTAGTAATTTCATCGTGACGCGTCCGAATGGAACGTCAAGCTAAGCGCAAGTTCACGGATGCAGGTCACCTGATCTCTCCCCAAAACCAGAGACACTCTCCAGAAATTTTCATTCATGAAGTTCACAGCTGCTATGAAACGTTTCAGAGAAATCCAAATTCATCGATCCGAATTCACTACTCAGTGAAATCTCAAATATGAGTAACTACTTCTCAGTACTACGAGGATTGCCTTTTATATTTCAGGATTAGAGAACAAAAACAAATATTAATCATTCAATATCACTTTATTGTGTTTCAAAATATTCCTCATTAAGATCTATACACTTTTGCATGCTTTTCAACCAATTGTCGAAGGACTTATGCCGCTCTTATTGAGGTATCTACAAAACATGCATTCTGAATGCAGCAACCGCTTCTTCAGGTGTCGAAAAACGTTGACCTCTCAGTTTATTTTTTACGTACGGGAATAAAAAGGTGCCAAGTCAGGATTAAACGGCGAATGACTTATCAAATCGATGTTTTAGGTGCTCAAAATGCAGTTGTTTGAGCCGATGTGTGAGCGCTCGCATTGTCGTGGTGAAGAGTGACCCGTCTTCGTCACTGCACGTGATGCACTGTAGCTGAGTTAATCCACGTCGAAAGTTGTAAAAAATAATCGCACAAAAAGTTTACGATTTAATTCCATTTTGGGGCCAAGATGAATCTTTTAAGTTACTGTAAACAACACAAATAGCGCTCCTATGTCAAAACGTTCTGAGTGCGTATAACCTCAAAAACTCCAACTTTACGATAGAGCTGTCAGTTGCCAGATTGCAACACCAGGGTTGCCAAATCCAGAAAAATAAAAGGCAACGTTCGTAAAAAAATGAGTTCTTAATCAAATTGTTTGAATTAAGTTTTTCCACTTGTAGCGCAAAGAACGCTTAAGAGAATGGTGCAGATATCGTGTTCGCCTTTATTTCAGGCAAAATAACCGGAAAACTACTCAAACACTAACTGTTTGTGAAAATTGAAACGCCAAGAAGGAGACATACTATTACAATGAAATTTATTCCACGGATTAGGAATATCACAATATAGAAATGATTAAAATTTCAGAGATGTACCTGCATTTTGACCTTAAGTATTTAGTACGGTGTGAAGCCACCAAGCGCTGCCATCACAGCCTCTAGACGTCGTGGCATGAATTTAGAGAGAGAGTTTGAATAAGCTGCTGGGGCTGAACACTGCCACACGTTTCTCTGCGTGTCTTCAAAGTGGGCCAATAGACAGTGGCTGTAGGAGGACCAGATCAAACAAGTTGCCGACGGATCATATCCCAGACATGTTCGATGTGACATGTCAGGCGAATGTGCTGGGCAGGAAAGCAATGGTACCCGTCGTTCTTCGCAGAAAGCTTACACATTTCTCGTCACATAGAGTCAACCCCAATGCTCAAGTATTGTCCTGCTGAATTAAGGCATGTAGAGCTGCTTGTAGGTGGGGCAGTACCTCGGCTGTAAAACCTCTCTTACGTAGTATAGATTGTCCTCAATCATATGAGGCGAGATCACACATTGTAGTCAATGGCGCCCCAAACACTTGACCTTATGCGCTATGGCGCGGGACAATGCAGAATGTCAGATCACGATCAACATGGTAGCGCTGAACACCTTTTCTTAAATGTATTCTTGCTTGGCCTGTGGCTCTCAGCAGCCGTAAACGACTGGTACTCTAATTTTTTTTGTATACAGCAAGTTTACATGATATCTTTTTTATCGTGGTTATTTCATTTCAGAAGCACATTATATTATACGGAGAGGCTAATCGTTTCCAATCTGCTTAAGGAGGGTCAAAAATTCAGTCGGTAATTTCCTTTTCAAGCGTCTCCTATGGGAGTTCTGCTTACCTAATTTGAAATGGGTAGCTGAAGGCATTCGAGAAATTTTGATATAGAATTTTGCGGATAGATGGGAGCAATATACAGTGATGGGGGTGATACCGAGTTCTTGATGGAGTTGAGAGTTATGGATAAACCAGGGTGATTATGTGATTATTCTTAGGAATTTATTATGGAATGTTTGGATGTTGTGAATATTGGTAGAGTATGCTGCGCCCCAGACTGGAGATGTATGTCATAATATAGGTCGAATAATTGTTTGGAAGAGATGAATGGATGTTTGTAATTGTAGTAGGAATATTACTGACAGTGTTTTCCTAGTGACTAATGCCACTCTGTGCATGATATTTGATCTCCATGTGAGTCCTCTGTCAAATAATACTCCTAGGTATATTGTCGTGGCGTTCGCGACAATTCATGCAATGTTATGGGGAGTGTGGGTGGGTCGATGGGTCTTCTAAGAGTGAATATTTTTCCTTGATTCTTGCTTGCGTTTATCTGAAGATGCCATTTTTGTGACCAATAAGAAAATACGTTGAGATGATCTTGTAGATCCTCTAGTGCTGTTCCTATGTCTCTATTTTAGAGTAGAATGCTGTGTCATCTGCAAAGGTACCAATGGTTGTAAATGATGAGGTGGGTAAGTCATCTATGTACATATTGAAAAGGGTTGAGGAGAGGCTCCAACCCTTTGAAACCCCTTATTTTATGGGATATGGTGTTGAGAGTGCGCCAGGAAATCGCACTGAAAAAGTACGTTCACTAAGACAGTCTTCTATAATGACTGAATTTGAGTGCCAATGTTCCGGAGTTTGAATATCAGTCCTGGGTGCCATACTGCATCAAAAGCTTTTGTAATGTCAAGGAATATTGCTACAGTATGCTTATGGTCTTAAAAACCTTCGATAATGCCCTCAGTCAAACGTAGTATTTGGTGGTATTTAGAAAGATGAGGTTGGAAGCCAAACTGATGAGTAGGTGTTATGTTTTCTGAGGTGAGATGAGTATTAAGTCTGGTGAGAATGCATTTTTCGAGTAATTTTCCCATGGAGGAAGGATGACAGACTGATCGAGCGGTACCTTGCTGGATCATCATTTGGTTTTCCTGGCTTGGAGTGTATATATATATATATATATATATATATATATATAATGTGTGGTGCTGTGTGTGTGTGTGTGTGTGTGTGTGTGTGTGCTAAGAGTTCTACGTTATACGTTTCGACATGTTGACTGCCTTTGATTGTTTGATAAAATAGATTTGCTGCTCCCGGCAGACACCCGGGGGAAGAGTATTTGGATATTTGAAAACTTTGGAAATTGATTAGCTGAATTGCTCACGGCAATCCTGAGTTGGCTTATAACGAGTATGCATAAACCACTGACACTTTACGTTTCACTATCACTTCGCTGAAATTAGCATAAATTGCACTTGCATAAATTGCACTTGTCTAATGGTAATGCAATGCATTTTCATGCATGCAAATGCAGTTGCAATTGCATTTGTCTAGTGGTAAGACACATAAATAACCCTTCATATTTTGTTTTGTATTTTTGAGAATTACAGATTTGTTATGCAACTAATGAGAATAGTTTAAAATAGAAAGGGTAGAGGAAACTGATGCAAAAATGGATTATGTCTCATTCATATCCGGCCGGGGACAACCAAATGCATTATCCTCAGCAGCTATTTCTGCCCTGTGGACCTGTTTACAGGCGGGTGAGCAAGTTGTTACATGCAGGTAAGAAAAGTAGAATGTAATTTTACTAGTTTAATGGATTCAGTGCCAAACAATACAAAACTTAATGAATGGTTAAAATACAGGTTACTTAAGATTAGATGAGATTAGATTAAAAATATATCTTCAAATCATGTAATATTCAATTTTTCGAAAACATGAGTATTTTTGGAATTTTTTTTCAAACATTGGTAATTTTATTTTTCTTTAAACATTTTTTCTTACCGGCACATCATTTTTCTTTATATTTGGACTTAAGCGTAATGGATGCTTATGAGAATGGTGCAGGTCCCATGTTCATTGAAATACGTAATTTTTTGAAAATTCAAAAATGCTTCGTCCACCACAATTGTGAGAACACAATTTTTACTTTCTTCTCTTAAGAATCGTAAAGCGGAAAACGACGATTTCCGCCAGAAAAAGTCGGGCTGTGGTAACAAAAAAATGGAAAAATCCTGATGCTAAATTCAGAGTCGGAAATCATTTAACACGTTGTGTAGCCAGAATACATAATTGATAGGTTCTCGATACCGAAAATTCGATTGACGACAAAACGTCTGTCCGTCCGTCTACCCGTTCGTTTGTCCGTCCGTCTGTGGTCAACTTAAGGGCTAAAGCATTCAGTCGATTTTCTCCAAAATTGATGTTCCTCAATAGATCTGGATTTTGGAATGATATTTTAGGTTTGGATGGCACACGGCACGAATCCTCTTAGACATTTTCAACATTTTCAAAAAAAAAAAAAACGTTCAAAAATTTGACTCAAAGTCTGTAGAGCAAAATGAGGTACCTAAAAAAGATCTTGTATATTTTTGTATTAAGTTGTAGTTTTTGCTTAATTCGAGCTTAATATGTTCTCAAAAACCGCTCCAAATGTTTTCTTTGAATTTTCTTTACATATGTAGTAAAGAATGGTAATAATATGGTGATAGTTCCATTTTCGGGTATTGTTCGTCTTTTCGAACATTACAAAAAACAAATTAAATAATACGTAATTTAAGATTGAGGTTTTTGTCTCAGACAAAGTCTGTTAAACAAAATTTCCTCTTTAAAAATCCAATTTGTTGAAAAAACGAGTAGTTTTCACATAATTATTGTTTGAAAGTTACGAAAAAATACTCAAAAACCGCTCAAAATTTGTATTTAAATATTCTCCGAATATGTGTAAAGGGACGGTAAGAAATATGGTGATAGTCCCATTTCGGACTATTCAAAAATTGCACTATTCGAAAGAACAGAAATGAAGATATTTTTTCTTCCAAAACGTTTGTTGTAGTAATAACAATTTGAATAAATAAATAATAAATAAAGTAGTGATGCTATAGAATGGCACGGACTTTCTCGCCCTAGTTCGTTTTCTAATACCTCTACTCTTTTTTAACTTTGCGACAAGCCTCATTCTCGTACACGGAGCTTTATTGTGTCACTACCCTGAAGAAGCCTGCGATATGACAGGCGAAATGTCGGCCTCTCTGCCAACGATGTGGCGTCACTTGGATAGCCTAGAAGTCAAGCCTCATTCTCTTCACGGCAGCTTTAAGTTTGTCGCCCGAAAAACAATTTTTGCCTCATTTTCTCACATACTCGGCTCCATAGTTCTAGAACAGAAACCACCATACATTTGTCATTATTATAAAAGTAGCCATTTCAAGGCTTGGCACAAGATGGCCCAGGCGGCAAGTTAAAGAACACATTCACTACCGTTCACTCATGAACAGTCTTTCTTCGCCTTTATTGATATAACTGAAGATCTGAATTCTCAATCGTTCACACGTGAAAGGTTTTCTTGAAACGTGTGTGTTAAATACTGTTACAGAACAATTATACGTTTTTCTACTTTTCTTTCGTTTGAAGTTAAAGAACGCAGACACAGTTATTTGCAGTTTTTGAGATATCATAAATGACATAATTGTCCATCGGTCGCACGTAAAAATATTTTCTATCCTAGAGGCGAATCTTTAAATGTTGTGTATATACTTGTTGTAGAACACACAATTTTGTTAGTATTTATTCGTTTTAAGTTAAAGCACACAAAACCTGTATCGCTAACAAATGAAACAGTTATTTAACTTTGGAAATATCAATAAAGATCCATTTCTCTATCATTCACACATGAAAATATTTTCTAAATGAGAGAAGATTTCTTGAATTTTGTGTTTCAGATCAAATAAAATTTTGTTAGTTTTTATTAATTTAATGTTGAAAATCACAGAAACTGTTATTTGCGTCTAGAAATATAAAATATCTCTATTGCTCACTCATTGAAATAATATTATACCATAGAATAGAATTCATGAGTGTTGTGTGTATACTGTCCAAGAAAATTACAATTTTGTTAGTTTTTTCTCCGTTTATGTTAAAGCACACAAAAACACTGCCATTGGAAATATCGTAAATGATCCAATTCTCTATAATCCACACGTACAAATCGGAGAATTGGGCTTTTATGATATTTCCAAAGTCATATAACTGATTCTGTGTTCTTCAACTTTAAACGAAAAACTAATAAATTCTACGTGTTTTTACACAGTAGTTTACACACAAAATTTCTTAATTCACCCTCACGATTTACAATATTTCCACATGTGAAAGATGAGAGAAATATTTTTAAATATTTCTGATGACATATAACTGTTTCTGTGATATATAATAGTTTAAACAAATTAAAATTAACCAAATTCCTATTGTTCTGAAACAATAGTATACACAAAACATTCAAGAATTCATTTCTTGAAATAAAAATGTTTTGACGTGTGAACGTTAGTTAATTTTTACTCTTAACTCTCTTTACTAACTAACTTTACTCTAACTTAACACTCTTTTTACTCTTCCAAAGGTATAATATGGTTTCTGAGAATTTAACGTCAAGTGAAAGGTCAATAAAATTCTAATTTTTCTGAAACAGTAGCACACACACACACGCACAGCATTTAGAGATTCGCTTCCAGGATAAAACATATTTTCTCGAGTTAAAGATTAAGTATTATATTTTTTATGATATTTCAAATGTAAATAACTGTTTCAATGTCCTTTAACTTCAAGTGAATATAAACTAACAAAAATCTATTTTTTCTGAAACAGTATACACATAAAAATTAAGACATTCCCTCTAATTTAGAAAATATTTCACGTGTGAACGATATAATATTGTATCGTTAATGATACTTCCAAAGGCCAGTAACTGTTTCAAGTGTGGAGTCTTATTGGAATTACCAATGATACTTCAGATAATCGAATTGCATATTCGTATTTGAATTTGAATTCACCCAATCGTTCAGTACAGACACTTCGCCAATTTTTCGCGCGAAAAGCATTCACAAATTCCTGACATCCCTACCTCATCGAATACAATAGTACCAGCCCTGTCGCGTGTCTACGGAGTTAGAGTAACAAGGAAGGCAAGGCCGCCCATAGGACAACCACGGCGGGGAGTCGCGCTGCAGCGCAGTGGGGGAAGGCCCACAGCTGAGCGCCGGTCCGCCTCCCCCGTCCAGCCGGCCAGTCTTCGCGCGTGCCCGGCCGGACATCGACCGGCCCCAGCGCCCTCCCGCGGACTCCCGGCCCACGTGGGCTGGCGCGCGCCCCACTGCAGCGTCATGTGCGTCGTTGCTGTCGTTACACGACCGGCGACTTACGCGTGTTTTGGATAGCCTGTACCTATCGGTAAGTCAGTTATTCCTTCGCCAGTGTAATTATTGTTGTGGTTAAATATCAAGAGTGCATTTGTATTCTCGCATGAGAAAATTTGACCGTATCATTTAAATTTGCTACTGTATTAGTTTCATTCTACATATTCCTGAAAAATGTGACTGTGTAAATGTAAGATTCTTATTTACTGACCAAGTAGCGATCACATAAAATGACCGGCAATGAAAAATGGTTTGTTGTTTGTGGTCGCTAATCTTCACATACTAATTCACTACACTATATCACTTCTTTTCTCTCCAGTTGCTCTAACTTGTGGTACACGTGAAAACATGTAAGCAGGAAACCATGATTTTTTCATACCAACAAATTTAGTTTACTAGTTGTTTCCTGCGGTATGAATATGAAGATCTAAAAGATGAATGAAAGGGTTTTATTAATACGATCCCTCTTGACGAATTATTATTATTATTCTTCAATCAGACTTTTCCTACCACAGATGTGGGCTTTTAAAAATATAATAATGTTCTAATTCTAAAAATAATGCTCTTGGAAGATTTTAGATTCATTAATACTCTGTTAAGATGTATCTAAACACGTTCCGACAGTAAAAAAATACTTTTGTGCATCGTGGAAATAACCACAGGTCCTAATACGCAGACGATCGAAACCGAACAGACAGAGTCGTTTTCTAAGCGCTCACCCATCAGGCCTACGAAAAACCTCGTCTTCGTAATCGTCGTCGTAGTGGTGGGGCTGCAACGAAAGGTGCGCGGCGCAGCGAGGCGCGCCAGGAGACGGGCGGCAGGGGCCACGCACGAGGAGTCGCGCACGCCGTAAACGGGAGCGCCGCGCCGCAGAGGTCACTGCGGAGGCGGAGCGGGCTCCAGGAAGTGGTCGGGTGGGATCCTCTCCCCTGCCGCCCTCCCTCACCGTCTCGCGCCGCGCCGCGCCGCGCCACGCCGCGCATCTGCGGCGACAAAAACACCGGCTTCGGGCGCGTGAGGCCAATTGAATTCCAACGTCCTCCTGTGGCGGGGAAGGGTCTTAGTTTGCAAATTGATAGCCGTAATAAAATTTAAAATTTCGGTAATTGGATAGTTGTTAGAAATGTAATAGCAACTAGTGGAGCCACGGAATGGCACAGGCTTTCCCTTGATACAATGTATAATGTAAAATCAAACAATTCTAAATATTAATTGCTAATTCACTAGGCGCTACTACCCTATGAACAATACACATTGCAAAGGATTATAGGTTAAAGCACATTTATGATGTAATATTTCTACATCAGATTTTAATTCAATGATATCTAAAACCTCATTACATCTCTAGACCACATATTAATTCAATAATATCTAAGTACCTCAATATATCTCTAGGCTAGATTAAAATTCATTAATATCTAAAATCTTCAATTAATCTAGATCTCAATAGCTACCACATGTTTGATTCAACCCTGGAAAATACTTCCTTCATCAATATCTTTTACCATAAATTCTTTATACACTTTTAAATACTCAGACTTTAAAAGACCTTCAATATCATTTTCTTTTAAACAATGAGAATACTGAATAGAAAAAAATACACTACATATTTGACTTTGTTTATCGATTTATTGGTCCACAACAAATTATTTTCCAGTATTATAATTATTATTATTATTATTATTATTATTATTATTATTATTATTATTATTGTCTTACATTATTACAGTATCTACGCTCGGGATATGTTCAAACCACTACACAGGTATGATGCCCAGGTGTGTGGTTTCTTACTGAAGGTTGCAGATGGCTTCTGACAATACGGCATGTATTCAAAATTACTGTCTTTTGCATATATATACATTCCTGGTATCCAATGAAGACACTCAGTGCCCGAAGTGTCATTTTTCGGGGATCACTCCCGTCGCTGATATTATTATAGGCACAGTCGTCCACTTTACTGAAGTTCCACTGAGTTGCGACTTCATAGGCGAGATGGTATAACTTTTCTGGATCTTCTCTTGATATTCTTCCGATATGTCTGTTGGTATTGGGTATTGATATATCGAAAGAAAACCTGCTGTTGGTTTACTATCAAATGTACGTTATACATATCTGGTCTATTCCGCCTGACATGTCTGTCAGTTGATAATGGAACGATCCCAGTAGAGTGTGTGCTCACTACTTTCAAGCTACTTCCTGAGGCACATATTTTAATACGCGCACGGAAAGTGGTGAGTAAGCCCGTTCTCAACGCCAAATAATTTGTGTACCGCTTCGCCACTTCATCATGCCTCTTTTGTATTCACTTGCGTGGCTGCTACATACTTGTTACGTGTTGGATAGTTTGCTTTGCAGCTCACCATCTTCTACACGAGTCGGGAATGAATGGGAGACAGTTCTCAGACATGTGTTTTTCTGTAGTTCATGTTGGTACCACTTGTCCTGGATAGCTATCATGAAGGCTTCTGTCCTCCGGAAGAGATCCGTGCTGGAGCATGCGTGCGCGCAGAGATGTCGAGTTCTGGTTTACTCAGCTGGTGAGGGTACATTCCCTGCAGTGCCTTTTGCTTTCCATGAGGTTACTTCTCTTCCGTTCAATGATTGGTTGAACGGCGGATCAAGCATTTTTCAAGTTAGAGCGGACTATAGGTAATCAACTGCACTCACTGCCTTGCTGACTCTCCCCAATGTTCAAGAAGTTATCTTCTGAAGTGAAGCAATTTGAGAGCTGTGTAGATGTTATGGAGATCTACAATACCTCGCCCTCTTGCGACCTTTGAAGGGTAAAACGCTCAGTGCTTGAATGGGGATGATGCTTTTCGGTGTTGAGTCATAGCGGGTTCGAATTGTTCTCTGGAGGTTGTCGCAGGTCGTATTGCTCCATTTAATAAGCCAAAGGAGTATGCTCGCACTGGGAATAACAAATGAATTGATGGCCTGCACAAGGTTCTAGAGAGAGTTTAAGTTTTAAGAGCCCATGCAATCGGTTTTTACACACTCATTTGTTAGTATATTCTAGTAACAGTGTGTTTGATTCGGAGTGACTGTTGGAAACAAGTATTTTAGTTTCATCGGGGTTTCCGATGAAGTACATTCTTTGGTTCATTATCAGTTTTCCAAATTTCTTAACTTGCATATGACCCGCGAATGATATTCACTCTCGTGCACTTATCCAACCAATTTCCATCTTAATGTCGTCAGTGGACTTTCTCCGTCACGTTTTATTATTGCCGCATATAACTCTCAGTGTCTGATAGAGCTTTCAGGTCATCCATGTAAAAGGATGTGAGACACGAAGAAGATGTTTGAGTTCCCTTTTTAAGAGCGTCCATATTAGATGAATTAATAGAGCTAGAGAGGGGATTCAAGCTAAACAGAACAATAAAGGGCTAAAGAGACCGCTGGAAATCCCCTCGCGGATGTGTAATAGTAACTGTGGGACGGATTGTTTTCCTTAGAGAGATACAGTTTGTATTCCTCGACTATCGCAGTTTCTAGAGTTTTGGATAAACGGGTGACTTGTATACATCCAAACATTGAAGGAGCCAAGAATGGGCAACGTGTCGAATGCTTTAGCGTATCTATGTAGCATGCGGTTACAAGTTTCTTTGTTTTTCAAGCACTTGCCCCTAATTACAGAGTATTAATGAGTTGCCTACCTTGCATCCTGAGATCAGTTACATCCTTTCTGTTCATTTGCTAAGATGTTCTGTTTCCTCAATGTGTTGTATCATCCTTTGCAAGCACAACATGTTATGAGTTTGTAAAAGTTTGAAGCCAGTTATAGGCCTGTACTTCGAGGGGTCTTTAGTGTCACCTCGCTTTGGTAACAAAAATGTTCTACCTCAGTGAGGAAGTGAGGTAGATTTTCTGGATTGTGAAAGAAAATATGAATTATTATTAGCTATATGATGTGAGTGCTGGTAAATTTTTGAGCCAATAACGTGTGGAGGCCATCACTGCCTGGTGCTTCCAGTTAGTTTTTCGTTTCAAACTGCTTGACAATTTCCACGGTGATGATTGGTTCACACATTAGTTCGGATATCTGCGGTGTCTGTCATATTCCATTTCAATCCACGTCATATCTGGGTTGTGGACACAGCAGATGAGCAGATAGGCATTCCAAAAGTCCTCTATTTGTGCTTTGAGGGAAGCTTTGAACTCTTCCATATCATTTACAAGCCCTTTGCCTATGACATCTTCTGTAGAATGCTTTCGGTTTCTGTTAAAAGAAGAATTCTGTTGACTAGGTCCTCGTAGTGCCATTCCTGTAGCGTCGAAAGAGGTTGAATTCGATAACTACGCCTAACAGCTTTCTTCGTGATGGGTGGCTCACGATGTTATCTCGTTATGTTTGGAATTTCAGCGCCGCCTGTCTGGTCGTGATGAATTTTTTTGTATGTGAAATACTGTTATTGATATCACCACTCTTGCTCAGTTTATATGCTGAGGTACTGTCTCCTTGTTTTCAAAATTAGCGTGACGTTCAAACTCAAATAATCTACTGCTGGACAGGAGGTATATCGTATTCGACTTCACAGACCGTCTTATACTCCAGAGTAGCATTCTGTATTTTCTCTATCGATTCGAGTTGTGAGATGCATAGCGTCGGAGGAGAGTGAACTAAAAAGCTTCGGAACAGTACATCTTGAGCAGACGCGTAGACATCAATCAAATGTCGCTCTTAGTGTACTTCTTCGAAAGATAAGTCTTTGTGTGTAAGATAGCTGTACGCTGGCATGTATACTTCCATTCAAGACGCCGACTTGACTCTTGCTGAACTCCTATTGAAAGAACATTATCTCTTAGTCTTTTTGGGTGTATACCTGAAAATGATGCAGGTTCGTTGCGGAGATTCTAATAACCTCCGCAACGTGTCTACTGCCCAAATGAATATCATTGCTGAATTTCACTCTCTTCTACTAACTCTTATCATGACATCTGTTTGGTTGTCACAGACATGCGCATGAGCACCTGGC